AGATTCAGACTCAGATTCAGACTCAGATTTAGGTTCAGATTCAGAGTAAGATTCAGAACCAGATTCAGACTCACACACAGACTCAGGTTCAGACTCAGATTTAGGCTCCGATTCAGGCCCAGATTGAGTCTGAGATTGACACTCAGCTTCAGACTCAGATGTAGACACAGATTTAGAGTCAGAATTAGACTCAGATTCAGACCAAGATTCAAAACCAGATTCAGACTCAGATTAACACTCAGATTCAGACTCGAATTCGCACTCGAATTCAGATTCGAATTCAGACCCGGGATCAGGCTCAGATTCAGACTCAGGTTTAGACTCAGATTCAGAACCAAATTCAGACCCAGATTGAGACCCAGATTCAGACTTAGATTCACACTCAGAATCACACTCAGAATCACACTCAGATTTAGACTCAAATTCAGACCCAGATTCAGACCCAGATTGAGACTCAGGTTCACACTCAGATTCACACTCAGATTCATACTCATATTCAGACACAGATTTAGCCCCAGATTCACACTCAGATTCAGACTCAGATTCACACTCAGATTAGACTCAGATTCAGACCCAGATTGAGACTCAGATTCACACTCAGATTTAGACTCAGATTCAGACCCAGATTGAGACTCAGATTCACACTCAGATTCAGACTCAGATTCACACTCAGATTTAGATTCAGATTCTGACCCAGATTGAGACTCAGATTCACACTCAGATTCAGACTAAGATTCAGACTCAGATTTAGGCTCAGATTTAGACTCAGATTCAGACCAAGATTCAGACTCAGGCACAGATTCAGATTCAGACTCAGATTCACACTCAGACTCAGGATCAGACTCAGATTCAGACCCAGATTTAGCGGTCACGTGACTTTTGCAGACCTTCGGGAGAAAATTTACCACGGCGCCGTCGTCCGAGTTACCTCGTCGCTGTAAACGGAAAAAGAAAGAGAAAACTTGCCCGCAGGTATCGACGCCGATTCCACGCCGTATCTCTTCGCCGGAACGCGCTATTCAACGCGCTATTCAAAATCTCGTCGAGATCTACAATCGCGCAATTGTACGTTTTGCTCTAACTCTAACCGTTCGGCCGGTAGAAGGCGTCAAAGTTGGAAAATGCGAAAAACGTCGTCATCGCGACCGGCACTCCGGGTCGCGCGGTTCCCGAACGGGGCTATAGAATTGAATCGCACCCCGGCACAAAGACGCTCCTCCACGTCGCCCGACGTCTCAGAAAGCGCGAAAAAAAGTTACGGTGCCGTTTTCGAGTTACGAATTTTTTTTCTAAAATTTTCAATTTTTTCACTTCTTATGGCAGCTACCCCGACGGGTGCTGGGGGAATTTTCTTAACCCCACCGAAAGTTGCCCCAACTACCCCTACCCCCCTGCGCCGGCGCCACGACGTCCTAACCCCAACCGTATAGATACGACGAATTTTTTTCCGCCCCCGCGCACCTCGACGACGATGCTCCCCAGCCGCTCAGGAGAATTTCCCAGTAGCGAAATTCTCAGAATCGATCCGAAATCGTCTCAAAAAGGTCCGATACAATTTTCATCAAAATCGAATCATTTTTAATTAAATTAAAAATGAAAATCGAGTAAACGGTTGAGTTCAGGCACAGACTCAGACTCAGATTTAGGCTCAGATTCAGACCCAGATTCAGATTAAGATTCAGAACCAGATTTAGACTCACATTCTGACTTAGACACAGACTCAGATTCAGACTCAGATTGAGGTTCAGATTCAGACCAAGATTCAGAACCAGATTCAGACTGAGATTCAGACCCAGATTTCGACCAAGATTCAGAACCAGATTCAGACTCAGATTCAAACCAAGATTCAAACTCTGATTCAGACTCTGATTCAGACTCAGGCACAGATTCAGATTCAGACTCAGATTCACACTCAGATTCAGACTCAGGATCAGATTCAGATTCAGATCAAGATTCAGAACAAGATTCAGAACAAGATTCAGAACTAGATTCAGACTCAGATTCTGACTTAGACACAGACTCAGATTCAGACTCAGATTTAGGTTCAGATTCAGACCAAGATTCAGAACCAGATTCAGACCCAGATTCAGACTGAGATTCAGACCCAGATTTCGACCAAGATTCAAACCAAGATTCAAACTCAGATTCAGACTCAGGCACAGATTCAGATTCAGACTCAGATTCACACTCAGATTCAGACTCAGGATCAGACTCAGATTCAGAACCAGATTCAGACTCAGATTCTGACTTAGACACAGACTCAGATTCAGACTCAGATTTAGGTTCAGATTCAGACCAAGATTCAGAACCAGATTCAGACTCAGATTTAGACTAGCTATTAAGTGTTCTAAACTTTACCCAATGTGAACTTATGTTTTTTACAAACGCGAAGGGCGTTGCGAAAAATAGTTTCCATGGAAGATGCGTCAAGCAACCCTTCCCTTTTTTATGCAAAGGCAACACTAACTGTTTTAAGATAAAAGCCATGCTAAATAAATCGGCAGAAGATATGAAAAATGCGGCAAGCAACACTTCCCTCATTGCGAGATGGAACGAGCTAGACGTCTACTTTCAATTACATCGTGTTACAAGGTAGAGCTGCGAAGATTTAACAAGAAACATGCATATATTTCGTTCTAAATCAGTTTAGTTCCCAAATGGTCAGTTTTACAAATTCGCAATTTACCAAACCCAGGGTAGCAACTTTGCAAGTTTCTAAGTAGATAGCAAAATGCACGAGTTGTCATTATGTGATCTAAAGCGCTTGCACTTTATCAAGATTGAAAGCTTTCCAATCTCAGGCAAGTTGCCAAATTCTCATTTTACCAAATTCCCAACATACCAACTTTGAAATTTGAGAGAAGTTTGCGATTATTTCTTCGTCCCAAAATCCTAAAACCACCAACTACTACCGAATATGACGAAGACTATGATATTAGACGTAAAAAGGTTAGTTTAAATTCCCATACTTGTAAATTTCCCAGGTTCTCAAATTGTTATGTCCTCCAATCTTCAATTTTACAAACATTCAAACGAAGAGGGTTCTAGTGTTTACAAATTCGCAAAACTTTCCAATTTTCCAACTTGGCCAGTTCCAAAATACAGGAGGAAAATTTTCACGTTTTCAAGTTTTCAATTGCAAAGTTCGCCACATAAAGCGCTTACCCTGTTCTCAATTTTCAAATTCTAAAATTGTCAAGTTTTCAATTAAAAGTTCAAGGTGTAGCCCTGCAATTCGAAACCAGAACCAGATTCCCTCGTGAAAGTACACAAAGGAATTACATCCAGTTCGATAAATAAGCCGTCATCACCGTCTGATTTCCCTAAATAAATTAATATTAGCATCATTCAGAGCCCTAATTAGGGAAACTGTACACCCCCGACAAAGGCAGAGAGTACGGAATACTAAGCTAATAATTTATTACGTAAGCCCCTTTCAACGGCGAGCCCTATCATTTTGTGGTTTTATAAGGAAAAACGAGACAGTCGCATTCGGATTTGCGGTTAACTTATTAGGACGGAAAGGTCAGGTAACAAAGCCCTTTTGCGAATTACTCCCTTCGCATACAACACCGGGACCGAAGAAATTTCAAATTACGTCTCATATGCGAAAACATAACCTCACTTTGATTAAATTACGGCACCGTCACCGACGTAATTCTTCCTCTGACCGAATGTTTTGTGAAGGGGGAGGGGGGGGGGGGGGGTGGAAAGCCACCTACGATAAGAAAAGCGCTTATTTATAAATAATTCCAATCAGAACCTAAGGCGGTAATTTCTTTGCGTTAATGGAAACTCCTTTCTTGAGGTGAATAATTTATGCGTTGCGAGCGCGAGAAAAAAAGCGCGAGTAATGAGTTTACATGAGGACGATTGCAAAAAGTTGTAAATCCGAGTGCTAAAAATTTTAATGCCGGATTGACAAGTGCGCGACCCGGAAACTTTCCATTTAAATTTATTCCGGCGGCGATTCATTAATAATCCCTTCAATATTTACAATTCGGTGCTGTAAATTATTGGATTTGTGTTATAAATTTTGTATTAATCCTTTATGGAGAGCGACGGAATCCGACATTAATCATAGTTTAACAATGAACGGGTTAGTTGCGAGGGGGCGTTTTTCAATATTTATTTTCCGTTCCCCGTTTTCTGTTGATAGTCGCGGTTCTCTTAATTGAGGAACAATACTGTAACGTTTATTGAATTTCTGGGTAAAGATAAACATTTATTTAACTAAGAGCCAATTGATTATTTATTAGTAAAGCACGGTTGATATGCTTTACTAATTATACGGGGTCGCTGATAAGTCTGGAAACGATCGACTATCGGGGGGTATAAAAAAAAGTTTTATACACTAGATTTGAGGTTCTTTAAAAACTACTAGACAGTAGTAATTTTAATTATACAGGGTTGGTCATAAAGGCGTGGCACCCAATATTGCATTTTTTTAATGGAACACCCCGTATATTATTCGATATTTCAATTCTTCCTTCAATTTTGAGCATAATTTGTAAGGAGCATAATGTACCCAAATGCAATCGTTTCCGAGTTATCGAGTTTTGCAAATAAAAGGTATTGCTTTAAATCACGTCGGCCATCGGCAACGTTCGATCCACTCCGGATCGTATTAGGTGAGCACCGCCGGACGGTCAGCCACCACAATCCATATACCAAGCGGTAGCGTACCCACCACCAACTACCACCACCAGCTCCACCTGTAATATCTCAGCCAACTGAAACCTCGCTACCACCATCACACTTCACAAGAAGAGCTGCAAGATCTCGCACCCACTCCTACCTATGTGACCAGGATCCAGGGACGCGTGCGCCCAACCAGTAACACTTTCCTGGTCACTCTCAAAAACATTCCCGGGGCTACATAAAGCTGGTGTTCCACCATAACCTTAAAGTAGCAGAATTCCGAAGCAACGGTCCGATAATGCAGTGCTTCACCTGCCAACGATTCTGCCACTCCAGCCTCAACTGCGAATATGCTCCGAGATGTGTTCGTTGCGCCCGCGAACTGTTCCGGAGAACACCCTGCCAACTAAGGCGCTTGTCCTGCTTACGAAGCGGAGCTAGCGGAAAGGAACGGCAAGGACCCTGTTTCCCCTCAACCGCTCCTGGTTGCACCGAAACCAACGGACATTCAGATTCAGACTCAGATTCAGACTCAGATTCAGACTCAGATTCAGACTCAGATTCAGACTCAGATTCAGACTCAGATTCAGACTCTGATTCAGACTCAGATTCAGACTCAGATTCAGGCTCAGATTCAGATTCAGACTCAGATTCACTCCCATCCAGACTCAGATTCAGACTCACATCCAGACTCAGATTCAGATTCAGACTCACATTCAGACTCAGATTCAGATTCACATTCAGACTCAGATTCAGACCAAGATTCCGACTCAGATTCACTCACATTTAGACTCAGATTCAGACTCAGATTCAGATTCCAGACCCAGGCTCTGACTCCAGGCTCTGACTCGACTCAGAATTCAGACTTCGATTCAGACTCAGATTCAGACTCAGATTCAGGCACAGATTCAGACTCAGATTCAGATTCAGACTCAGATTCAGGCTCATATTCAGATTAAGACTCAGATTCACTCCTATCCAGACTCAGATTCAGATTCACATTCAGACTCAGATTCAGATTCACATTCAGTCTCACAATCAGACTCAGATTCAGACCAAGATTCCGACTCAGATTCACTCACATTTAGACTCAGATTCAGACTCAGATTCAGACTCGGATTCAGATTCAGACTCAGGCTCTGACTCAGACTCAGATTCAGACTCAGATTCAGACTTCGATTCAGATTCAGACTCAGATTCAGGCACAGATTCAGACTCAGATTCAGACTCCGATTCAAGCTCATATTCAGATTAAGACGCAGATTCACTCCCATCCAGACTCAGATTCAGACTCACATTCAAACTCAGATTTAGATTCAGACTCACATTCAGACTCAGATTCAGATTCACATTCAGTCTCACATTCAGACTCAGATTCAGACCAAGATTCCGACTCAGATTCACTCACATTCAGACTCAGATTCAGACTCAGATTCAGACTCGGATTCAGATTCAGACTCAGGCTCTGACTCAGGCTCTGACTCAGACTCAGATTCAGACTCAGATTCAGACTCAGATTCAGGCTCAGATTCAGGCACAGATTCAGACTCAGATTCAGA